GTAAAACGTCAGAGAATCACACACCAGGGGCAGTGTGTGAGCTACCTCAGTGTGGCGCACGGGCAGGCGGGGTGGGCGTGCGGATGGAACGCACGCTGGAGGGTGCACTCAGCTGGGCCACGCCTCTTGGCTTCCCGGGTGGCGGGGGCTCTGGGAGGAGGGAGGGGGTGGTGGTGTCTGAGCCTACAAGGAGACAGTGACTTCCAGGCTGTCACCCTTGGCACAGGCTTATCTCCTGGATCGCCGGAGACAGGAGGCTTGTCTCCTGGCTCAAAGGCAACACTGTCAGGATGCAGGCACTGCCGTCAACGTGAGTGCCGGTGACCTTCCCAGGCTGGGCTGCCAGCGCCGCCGTGGTGACTGGGCTCAGCCTTGAGGCTCCGGCAGCCCTGGCAGCGGGGGTGGGGCTGCCGTGCCGGCCTCTTCACTGAGGATCCAGTAGGGGCAGGGCCCTGGGGTGGGTCCTGCAGAGGTGAAGGCCAAGTGGCCATCCTGAGGCATGGGGCTGCTGCCCCCCCTCTGCTGAGAGAGCACAGTCTCCCTCTAAAGCTAGTCTCCCTCTAGCTGGGAGCGTGCTCTGGCGAGGCCAGGGCTCCAACTGTAGAGCCCAGGGGACACCAGGGCGGTCCCGGGACGCCTCTGGGGTTGGAGACCCTGGGTCTGTCTGGTGTCCTGCACCAAGCAAGGCAATCCCTCCTTACTTGTGTATTCACCCCCAGGGTCCCCCTGTCCTGCTTGGTCCCCTCCTCATCAGGACTGGATGGCCCCCGGGATGCAGAATGGACTGGCGCACCGCTCAGGCACGGGGCCTGCGGGTGGGCGCCATTGACCAGCATTATCCGGGCGGTCACCCCCCAGAGTACTGGCGCAGGATCCATCAAGCTGGCGAGGAGCTCGCCACCTCCCCACCCAGTTCCTGTCGCCTTGGGTGAGCGAGATGGAGATGGAGGCGGAGATGGCGACAGCTCAGCTCCCGTGTGGGAGACGCCCGACCCCCATCACCACTGCGGAAGTGGGAGGGGAAGGTCAGGCAGCCCCACAGGCAGGGCGCACCTCAGGGGCCTGACCTGCTGCAGGGGGCCAGCATCTGGCCACCATACAGACCAGGGCAGCGAGGAGGGTGGAAGGGTCCCCCTAAACGCCCCTTCTTCTGGGGACAAGCAGGCTTTTGGGAGAAAGGGGTGCTTGGGCCTGTGTCCCCAAGATGCCGACGTGGGCACACTGCCTCCAGCCCCGGGTAGTCTCCGCTCCGACACTGTATCTGGGTGGCGTGTGTGGGCCTCGGTGCCCCCAGCCCTCCACCCAGTCCTGGGACTCAAGACGGCGGCGATGGAGCAATGCCCACAGTTGAGCATCATCAGAGCAGCTGAGTGGGAGGGAGACCAGGGGTTTCGCTGCTCCGTGGGGGCCGGCGGTGATAAGGCCCTTGTCAAGGATTTTGTCCAACCCAGATGCACAATCAACCTGGGCCTGTGGGCGGAGATAGCAGTCATCAGGTCAAAGGGCACACTGTGCTGGGCAGATCTGCCTCTGTAGACCTCTTGGGCCTGTGCAGAGGCAAACACGGCCCCTGGGGGGAGGGTGCTGAGGCACCCTGACCCAAGCCTCAGGGGTTACCATTGCCGCAGGCACCTGGAGGGGTCCGACAGCCAGAGACGAAGGAGGAACAGAGAGGAACGGGGCCCCCATTGCTGCGCCGGGGAAGCAGGAGAACGTGTGTGCACACCAGGAGCCATGAACTTGTCGGGGCAGGGCGCCGTCGGAGCGCCCTGAGCAGTGAGGAGGGAGAGACTCCGTCTCCCGTCCTTTGTTGTCAAGGGGGGGCGGCCCCTGGAAAAGGACATCGTGCTTGGAAAAGCAGAGGGGCAGCGGAAAACAGGGAGACGCTCAAAGGAGACGGACAGCACGGAGGCTGCGACCACGGCCACTCACAGCCGCGACGCGCAGGCCGCAGGCTTCCTTCCTGTGGTTTGGACGATTGCGTGGCGCCTGATGAGAACAGGTGCATCTGGGCACCAGCAGGTGTCCCCCTGCTGATGGAAGACATGTTCTTCCAATGACACCCCTTCCTGGGCGAGCCCCACAGAACATCTACTGGAGGGCAGAGACCACACCCTGACTCTGCTCGCTCAGACGGCATGTGGAATGGACGTCTTATCGAGTCCTGGTGGCCAGGGGCATGGAGGCCAATTAACCACTGCACAGCCGACGGGTGTCATGTCTTGGACTTGGGGTGGGTAAGGGTGGTGGGAGGCGCTGCCGGGTCCTCGTCCTGCTCAGTCCCTACAGTGTGACCCTGAGAGGTACCGAGTGCCCCCCCCCCTCACCCGGTACACACGGTCCAGGGTGGCCGGGCGCTTCTCGGACTCACCGACCCACCGCATCAGCGACGTCAGGATCTGCAGGTACTTGGTCTTCTGGACGTCAAAGAAGGTGAAGGGTCCCAGGAGGAGGGTGAAGATGGCCTGCGGGGGAGACACGAGAGTGAGGGCAGGCCGCCCACCGCTGAGGCTGAGGCCTCGTCCAGCTTCAGCTGGGCACTGGGCTGGGCCCAGGCTCCCCGAGGCCACATAGCTTCACCTTGGACATGTTCCAGAGCCGGGGTGTGTGGGGCTGGGGGGAAGAGTAAGGGGAGCCCCCAATATGCCTCACACTTGACTGCTCTGGTCACTTCTGCTTTCTGACTGGTCACTCTCTATCCTGGCTGTCCACGAACATTCAGAGACTGCTCTGGTCACTTCTGCTTTCTGAGTGGTCACTCTCTATCCTGGCTGGTCACTTCTGCTGAGTGGTCACTCTCTATCCTGGCTGTCCACGAACATTCAGAGACTGCTCTGGTCACTTCTGCTTTCTGAGTGGTCACTCTCTATCCTGGCTGTCCACGAACATTCAGAGACTGGGTGTGGACACGGGCCAGGGGCAGAAGGGCTGCCAGACACCGTCCAGCAGGGAAGCGGGCACAGGGGCCTGCCCTGTGACCCGGGAGGCCAGGACTGACTGCTGCCTGTGGGTGGAGGTCGGATGGGTTTCAGCAGAGCTTCCGGACTACGATGGACGAGGAAGAAAGGCCCAGCCAGTGATCAGTCTTCACGTGCCAGTGCGTGGAGTGGCTGGGAGTCAAGGGGTCAACGCCACAGAAGCCCAGACAAGAGCCCTGCCTGGGAGAAAACAGGGAAAGTGTGCCCCCTGCAATCCCAAACTAATGGGGCCCCCTCTTGGCAAAGAGAGGGAGGTGGGGTGGGGAGGAGGGGGCTTCTCGTCAGAATGCCTGCTCAGGGAGCAGCGGAACTGAAGCTGCCCCTCTGAGTTCAGACGGCGGCCTTCCCAATTTCCAGGTCACTAACATTAGGGCCCAGCACTTTGACAATCACGCTCTGGCTAATGGTGCCCATGCTCTGGGCGGGGCGGCAGATCCCACTCGGGGTGCCGGGCCCAGCCCTGGGATCCAGGGGATCATGCAGCAGCAGCTGTGCGGCCCAGCCAGGCCCCGTGATGGGCAGGAGCCCCCGCAGAAGGGTGGCTGAGCCGTCCTCCCCGCCCCCTGGGCACGGAGAGCAGGAAGTGGGAGAGGCTGTGACCCCTCATCCAAGCCCATTATCACTGTGCGCAGGAGGCCAGGCGGAAGACGGGAGGGCCTGAAGTGCTGCCCACAGGAAAGGCTCTCATTAGCGGGGCTGGGGGGTGGAGGGTGGTATTTGGCAGCCGCCAGGCCTGGGGGGGGTCTGGAAAGCAGCAGTTTCTGCTGGGTGCTGAGGACCCGTCCTGCTTCTGCTCCAGAGAGAGGGAGGGCAAGCGTTCCCAGCATACTGGGGAGAGTAGGGCTGATCAGAAAGGGCTCTCTGGGCAAGAGAGAGGCAGGGACACACAGTGGCATGTCCACTCCCTCAGGCCCCAGAGGAGGGCGGCTGAGGCCGTATGCAGCCACACCCATGATACACAGGCACAATTCCACTCTGGGTGGCTTCCCATGCCGACTCCCCATGTGCCAGGAGAGACAGCCATTTGCCACAAATGGTGCCGGGAAATGGCACTGCTGGAGCCCTCATCCCCCAACTCTTGGAACCTTGGGGGTGCTCTGCCTCTGGCCCTGGAGGCCTCCAGTAGGAAGTGGGGTGTGAAAGCCTGCCTTCCGGGGGTAGTGGGCTGCCTGTGAATGCAGGGAGTCTTGGGGACTCACATGGGAGGTCAGGTCTCATCTTGGCAAACAAAGGACGGATTTTGGAAGCTGGGATGATACGAGGGAGGGCAGGCAGGTAGAGAATTCGGCTGCTGTGGACACGGCACGCTCCCCCTCAGACACCACGGGCTCTTCCTCCTCCTAGCAGATGCTCACCAAGACCCTGGCACACAGGGGGCCGCCTGGGTGGCACAGATAGCGAGTGCCCCATGGCTAGTCGAAACGTTGGTGGTTCAAACCCGCCCGGAGGTCCCCTGAGGACAGGTCTGGCAGGCCGCCTGCTAAAGATCGCCGCAGAAGGACTCTGCTGATTCCACTTAATGGCAGCCAGCGTCACCGTCACAGGAGGCTCCCTTTAGCTCAAACATCTGGACCTACGGGAGAGCTCAGGAGGCCCCCACCTGCCCGGACTCTCAGAGTCAGTCCCAGGGCAGCAGGTCTACCTCCGAGCCGTGGCAGCCACGGCCGGGTGGGGGCTGGGTGCATTCCCTTTTCACGCTCAGGAACACTGACCACCGGGCTCAGGGCCCAGTTAGGCACAGCACATATGGACAGCTGGCCACACAGCAGCCACACTGTGGGGACACACACGCAGGCAGCAGAGGGGGGCCCAGACAGAGACGTTGGGCTAATTAAGGAACAGGTGTCCTCTGCAAATGAGCTGGAGTCGGAGAGCGACAACAGCCCCAGGAGCGGGCAGGACCGGAGGATGAGGCGGTGCCCTGGCTGCCAGGGCACCGAGAGGAAAGGGGAGGTGGGAGGAGAGCGTCTCAGACGGGGGGCCGGGCACTGCTGCAGCTTGAGCGAGGGGCGGGCCTGTCTGCCTTCCATAAAAGGAAGGAAGAGAAAGTGCAGAGGCGGCCTGTCCTCCTGGGCCCCCAGGCGAGCCTGTGTGACATTATAAATTAGCTGGCGCCTGCACCATTTTCCAAGCCCCCAAATGCCATCGGTCGCTCCAGACTTGTGCTCGGTCCAAGGACTCTTCTGGCCCAACTCGTTACGGGAGGCAGACACCAGTGGTGGGGACCAAGGGGACTTCTGACTGAGAAAGCAAAGAGGGGAGGAGGCCTTTGGTCTCTAAGGAAACCTTCAAACTGGCCGCTGGGAACGGCATTGTGGGCGGGGATGGAGGGAGCCCCCTGTAAACGCTGCTGGGTCTTGATGGAGACCCTGGGCCGTGGCTCTTTGGGAGGCTGCCAACACCAAAACCAAACCAAAGCTCCCTGCCGTTGGGTGGGTCCCGGCTCTCAGGACCCACAGGAAAGGGTAGGCCTGCCCCTGTGAGTTTCCCAGGCTAGGGCTCTTCAGAGCGGGCAGAAAGCCCCGTCTTTGAACTGCTGACCTTGGGGGTCAGAGCCTGAGGCATAGCCACTATGCCAGGGTCGCCCTAATCCAGCGCCTCCGACTGGCAGCCGTGGGTTGGGTGCTAGGTTGCCGGAAGCTACACCACCGAGAGTTCAAACACCAGCAGAGTTTTGAGGTCGC